TACAGTATTTCCCTCCGTGTCTGCACCTATGTCGTCGGTGGTGTTGGAGGGAGACGTTGGTATTTCGACTTCAGTATCCGAGGTCTCGTCGTTTAGTGCGCTTTCGAATACTTGCGTGGACGTGTTGTCCTTCATCACGTGTGTGCAAGTTGCATCCTCTATAAAGTGTGCATCTCTTGTGACGATGACTTGCCTCGAACTGGGAATGAATGTCCTGTATCCATTACCTGCGGACACGCCAACGTAGAAGCCCTTTTTGTAGCATAAACACCCCCAGCGATAGGGGTGTATGCACAGTTCGACCGAGACCCTTGTCGATCGGGAGACGGGGGTGAAACGGGACACCAGCTAACGGCACCGAGCAGCGGGCCCGGGTACCGTGGTAGAGCGGGAACGGGGAGGACGCCGGTACGCCCGAGCGGTTCGACGCCTCGACGCCCCGGCGCGGTACTGGGTAACGATCCAGTACCGACGGGCGGTGGCGGAGCCGGCTCGTGGGCGTACCGCGCGCGTCCTCAACCCGCGCTCGGTGCCGCTTCTAAGGTAATTAGCGAGCGTTACCTTAGAATAAGGGGGAAGTTGGACCTTGACGGTCGGTGGGTGACAAGTCCGTGCTTGTCCTCCTCCACCCCGCCCGATCCGCTCCATATTTAATATACAAAACAATATATAACACTACAGTACCGAAGTACTGTAGTGGACTACTGTAGTGCAGATCGGACCGTACTGTAATACTGTCAGCCATCGTGGCTGACAGTACACGTGTGTGCGCGCGCTTCCGTCCCGCGCGGTACACGTGTGCCTGTGTGCACGCGTGCGCCCGGTACCCGAGGGGTACACGTGGCCACGCGCAGTAGTACTGTAGATCATCGGGCTATACAGCACTAGATCCCGTTGTTGATCTAATCTAACTAAAAAGCCCCAGGGGGGGTTATACTACACTTTTCAGCTCGAGGCGCAAATTTATCGGTGCGCCTTGGCTTCGGGATATGAACATATGCTACTGAACCGAATTTGCGAATGTGCCCGAGTTTAGGCTTTCTTCCAACCACGGCCTCGTAAGGAGTATTATCAGGAATACTGCAAGCTGACGTGTGTACGCGATTACGTAGGTAGTTTGCGTGATACACGTTCTCCAAGCGCATCCGTGTTTGGGAACGTTTCCAGTGGAGGCTAAGAGAGTTCGTGCCATGTCCATAACTGTTCGGTTTAGGCGCTCAGCTTTGCTGTTGGACTCTGGAGAGTAAGGGACACTGAACTCCTGCCCGATTTCTTTTTCGTACCAGTCGTTGAGCTTCCTACTAGCAAACTCCTTCGCATTGTCAGACCGAATGCGAGCGACGCGAAAATTCCTTTCTCTACAAGCGGGGCTGCGTTCGAGCTCTTTTACAGAGTCCTGTATGGCTTTGGGAGCCTCACCCTTAGTCCTTAGAAATTTGACAATAGAAAAGGCGGTACAGTCGTCGTAAACAAGCATGAAGTACCAGTGTCCGGCTAGTGAAGGCGTCGACATTGGTCCCACAAGGTCCATGTGCACGAGGGGTTGAGTCTGTTCTCGACTGGTGGATGAGGGTCGAGGTACGCGAGTTGACTTGGCCATCTTGCACGGTTCACAGTGTGAGAGTTTCTGCACTTGCTGAAGTGCTACTCCCTTGACCATTGGGAGTGTTTTCTCCATCGTCCTTTGCGAAATGTGCCCCATTCGAGCATGCCAATCATCGGAAGACAGTAGTGAACGCGGAGAGTGCGTCTTTTCCGGGCATATAGTTGCCTCATACAGCCCCCCTTGTTGGTGCTCAAAGCCTTGCACAAACACCTTCGACTCATCCCGGGGTGTCACTTGACAGATTCTGTTTTGGTTGTCATCTGTGTCGAACACCACTTTCAATTCTGCTTTTCGCATGCGACTTACAGAAAGTAAGTTGCATACCAGAGAAGGCACATAGAGCACGTCTTCCAGTCGAATCGTTTTAGTTTCTGCACCTACTGTACTTTGGCAGACAATTGATCCTGAGCCAAGCACAGCAGCGGGCTTTCCAGTGCCGACTGATACATTGCGTCCTTCATACGTTTTCAGTTTTTCAAACGCTGACCGATCATTGCACATGTGGGCTGATGCCCCTGAGTCTATGTACTGTACCACTTGTCCTTGAAAGTTCCTTCCAGAATTGTTCGAGAACATTTTACAGTAGACATGAACGAGACATCAAAATACGCGGCTTAGTTCTGCCTCGTGTCTTCGTTCGGCTTCTGAGACCTGCGCGGTGGACGACTCTGTCTGCGGATTTGGTAGTTCTTTCGACGGTTGGCTCGCTTTCCAGCTAGCTGCGGTCTGTAGGATGTGCTTTCGGGATTATAGTAGCATTTGGTCTTGTCATGACCACTGCGGCTACAAAACGTGAACTGTGCGCTGTTGTTCCTTACGTGTAGTGCAGCATTGCCCTGAAAACCAATCTTCCATTCTTGACCTTCGCACTTCTCAGCTTCTGCAGAGATGAGAAAAGCTACTGCCTCATGGTACGATTTACCAGTGGCCCGGATGATACCAGCAGAGATGTCAAACTGTGGTGACAATCCCCTGAGCAGTGCGCGGCGCTTCTCCATATCCGGTATGACGTGGCCGATGGAAGCCAGTTTATTCTCGAGGTCCTGTAGTCGATTCACAAATAGACTGATGCTTTCTTCTTGAAACATTTGTGCGTTCTGAAACTGTTGCAGGTACACATCTATTCTTGCCTCTGACACTGTGGCATTCATTTCTTTCAAAATGTCCCACATCTTCTTCGGGTCTCGTATGGAGATCAACGCGGCGCTGACAGAATTCTCGATAGAAAGGATAATATTGGTCAACGCCAAGTCACTTCTACGCTCGAATTTCGCGCGGTCAGTCGCATCAGAGGGTATCTGTTCTTCCCCTGTGACGATCTGCCATAATCCTTTCGCGCGCAAGACGAACTCGAGTTTGTGTGACCAAAGGAAGTAGTTGTTCGCGTTGAGCGGAGTGAAGCGGTACCTGGAAGTATCCACGGTCTCCTGTCGGGTGTTATCCATCTCGGTAGATACCCGAAGTGCGATATCAGAGATGTTCAGTAATGTGTGTAGCGTCTGGGCACCAAAACCTGTTGAAGTTGTGTATTTTTATTCCTTAGAGTTGCTGCACGAGACCTAATTTATACTACTTTGTATCTGCAGATACCATCTCAGTGCGTTCCAGATTATGTGAGGTAATCGGCCTCAATTCTGCTGAATTGAGGGAATCAACACTGTAACTTATTAGATAGGGTCATTAACTACGGGTCCGATTATACCGAATCCACTCTATCTTCGCTGTCAACACAGTACAGTGATAACGTGTTACGTCTTCCCTTCGTAGAACCAGGGAGGAAGAGTTGAGGTGTACAGGTGTATCCTCAACAATTTTGTGGGGTTTCCAAGTCCCTCACAAACTTGACAAGAAGGGACTCTCTGCGGCGTAATTCTACAGGAACCTTTTCGAAACCGGTGTCATGAATAATGACCTTTTCGGGATTGTACAAGTAGTGATCCACCCATGCCTGGTACATTTCCTGGATATCGAGAGGAGGGGGATGCTTTATCAAGTACTCTCTGTTTCACCAGATGACGATGCCGATAGACTGATATAAATGTGGCTTGCTCTTGATGTGGTCTTTAGAGAACAACACAGCTTCATTTTGAAACGGAAAGCATCCCGGCGGAGATGATATAAGCAATGTTCCTTCTGTTGTACTTTCCGCAAGACGACTCGTGACGTCGTATTTCTTACCAATTGGCAACACTGCACACCTACAGTACGGTTTAAGACGTTTCGTTCCTTCTTCAAACTTGTCCATAACTGTCTCAATGAGGTTAAATTCAAAAGGGGGGTTGGCGGCGCCCCCTTCAATATGAGTTTCGTTCTTTTCTCATGTTCCGACAGAGCCAAAAATTTCGTCCTTGGGATCCAAACTACAGTAGGACCGTAGTACACCGCTTTCGTTGAAACAATCAGCAAATAGCTCTGTTGAGACAGAACAAGAATGATACCACAACTTGTAGAGAGAGGGCGAGGCAATCCAAGTATTATTGATTACGTTCGAATTAAACTTTCTGGCCCCGGCATTTCCAATTTCAAGTCGAAATGAATCGCTGTGCTGTCCAGGCAACAACAGCTTGTTTACATTTCCTTTCTGTACGGCATCTGAAACGATATTGTGTTGGTAGTTTGCACCATCTTCTTGGGTTTCTACTGTTCCGTATCGATTCCAAAATCGGGAGGATATTGTCCGTGAGATGAGGAAAGTGCGACTCTGACCTCCATCGCAGACTGCTAGTTTAACTTCGTAAAATGGATGGAGGGCCCTATATCCCCTTATAGAAAGCTCAGTGATTGAAACTGTACAATGATGAGGCATTGCATATAGAAGAAAATTTTGATCGATGCCTGAAAAACAAAGAGGAATATCTCAATACGCGTGTTTTCAATCTGATCCCCACCATGCGGAGCGGCAAAGGACGCCGATAGAAGCTTTTCTGGCAACACAACAGCACGGAAATGCGAATAATGAGGAATGTGGAATGCGTATAACGTAAGTTGACAGCGGTTCTGGGGGATGCTGATGAAGTGTGGATGGCGCTGGTGGCATGGCCAGAAGGCCTATCCAAAGTACATGGTCAAAGTCAGGAAGTCATTATTCGTATTACCTCGGGGTTTGGTCGCCTGGAAAGACAAAACGAGGGAATGGCGTTGAGAGGTTTTGCCAGTTCCCATTCAGATGCGCTCTCAGGGATGTCATCTTTGGGACGAATGCATGTGATGCGTGCACAAGACCGTTACAAAGCTCAAAAAATGAATAATTATTATGCATTCAGGTATGGCATTTTGACATAGCATATGAGTTTTGCATCATTTTATTTCGAAATCACCGAGATATCACCGACTTAGGCCTGTGCAAAACCAACACCCTCGGCATCTGGATCCCCGCTCGCTGATCATCCTAGCATCACACTGAGCAACACACTTCAAGGCAGCAAGGTGTGGTAGTCTTCAAACTCGATATTTGACGCACCTGTGTGTCAGGTGGCGAGCGATATTTAGCCTGGCGCTTGTCTACTCGGGCTGCGCCGTTTTTGAATCCTGGACGGCGACAATCAAGCTCTGTCAAAGCCATGGCCGACCTACCCGAAACAGTGCCGGAGGGCTTGCCCGAAAAAGCTGTGAGAGCTGCTGAGCTGGAGAAGCGCGCGAGTCCTATGCAACTCAATGACGGGCACGACATGGTCAACCTCGGCAACCGCATGAGGGACGGAGGCGGAGGAGTTGAGAAAGATGCGACAAGAGCTGTCAAACTATACGAGAGGGCGATTGAGGATCACGGTCATATCGCCGCGATGGTGAGCCTCGGCAAACTACTGGAAAAGGGCGCGGAGGGAGTCAACACGAATGCAGTCCGCGCTGCAGAGTTGTATGAAAACGCGATCGACAAAAATGACGTCAGCGCGATGGTGGCGCTCGGCTTGCTGTTGGAGAAGGGCGCGGAGGGGGTCGAGACGAACGCGGCTCGCGCAGTGCAGTTGTACGAACGTGCGATCGAAGAAGACTTGTGTGTTGACGCGATGTACAACCTTGGCAACCTCATGAGAGAAGGAGGCGACGAAGTTGAGAAGGATGAAGCGCGGGCTGCCAAACTATACGAGCGGGCGATTGAGGATCACGGTCATATCGCCGCGATGGTGAGCCTCGGCAAACTACTGGAAAAGGGCGCGGAGGGAGTCAACACAAATGCAGTCCGCGCTGCAGAGTTGTACGAAAACGCGATCGACAAAAATGACGTCAGCGCGATGGTGGCGCTCGGCTTGCTGTTGGAGAAGGGCGCGGAGGGGGTCGAGACGAACGCGGCTCGCGCAGTGCAGTTGTACGAGCTTGCGATCGACAGAAGGGATGATGACCATGCATTGGAGAATCTCGGTCTGCTTCTGCACCACGGCGCGGAAGGAGTCGAAATGGACGAGGTCCGTGCTGTGGGGCTGTACGAGCGTGCGATCGAGAAATCGCGCAGCGGTAACGCTAAGGTCAATCTGGCTGATCTACTGAGGATAGGAGGAGACGGAGTTGCAGACGACGATGCGCGGGCTATGAAGCTGCTTGAGAGTGCGATTGAGGAAGACGGTAACGCTGACGCGATGGCGCATCTCGGAACCGCAATGCAGTACGGAACGTCCGGGGTGCGCCGTAACATAGGGCAGGCGGCACGGCTGTACACCATGGCGATTGAGAAAGACGGGAACAACGCAGTGGCTCTGCGCAACCTGGAAGTCCTGCAAAGGGGCGGGCTGGGTGGCAGGACCGGGGCCGTGAGACGACTCCATGGGTGATTTCGTCCCCAACATCAAATGCCTTCACGGGTCCGGAAGCACGTGCTGGGGGTTGAATCAGAGACGCGCGGGCACTCCCGGTAAGTGAGAAGAAGCGAGCGTGGAAGAAACGAGCATGGATGAAGTGAGAGTGGCAGGTGCAAAAGGGGACGTTTGCATAGTTGCGTGGAGAAGTCGGGGCTGGATCCAAGGCAACTGGAATAATTAACAACCGTGGCACACGTGTAAATAAGTATCATACAGTAGACTACTGTACAGTAGGCCGCCTTTCATGCAAATACCTCTCGCACAGGAAATGAGTTTGATACTTACAGTAGAAGTACTGTGCAATTGGAACTGATTGAGAATACCAGTACAGTGGGATACACGCAATAGTGCCACCCCTTGCCACATCCCAGAAGGTGCTAATAGCGGAGAGTGAAACGGAGGAAATATGCCCTCTAATGCTTACCTAGATACGCTTTAGTCACAGATAATCGCCCAGCACTGCTTGCCTCTCTCGTGATCTGCTTCCCTGAGCCCGTGCATTGAGAAATGCTTTCCTCGCGCATCGTAAGAGCATCTCCAGCGCTGCAGCTAAATCTATTCCAATTAGGACGCGTGTCAGTTTTCTAGCTGGTCGCTGTCTTTGGGCACCCCATGTTCCAAATTGTTTGCAATGCGCTATGCCGAATGCGCTGCTCGTCTCCATCGCGCGCACTCGTTAACCCGCAGGACGACATGGACTCTCTGGACGACTTTGGCGCCCTAAAACCGATGGCGCCGCACATTTTCTTGAGTTCATTGAACAGCTCAACAGACTAGCTTTGGAAAGGGGTAAGGCGATCCAAGGAGGTGTTGATCGCCATACTGAGGGACTTCGTCGTTTGCGGAATGCTGGAAACGCGGGAGACGTCCTGAATGTCCTGAAAGATGAACGAAGAGAAAAATCAGAACGACTGCGCGCACAACCAAAAGGCATCGATCGTCCCAGGCTCATCAAACAGCTTGCGCAAAAATGCTCTCTTCATTTACAACGCAAGGTTCGAATCAGTGCGTCTTTCGTGGCCCTCTCTGTGCCAAGTCTTGCGCCCTGGCTCTGGCCCTCGCCTTTGCCCTCCCCCAATTCTAAACTAACCTTGGAATCATTTCCTTGTTCCGTGCCCCTCCCTGTCCCAACCCCCTCCCGCCCTCGCCCTCTGGCCCTTTCGCACTCTCCCTCTTTTTCCCTTTCCACTGTGAAGAGTCATTTTGGAGTGCTTAAAGCATTGTGGGTCTGTTCTACATTAATAATACCAGACCTCAAGTCCACGTGTAAGACAAGTGAGATACTGTACGTGCAAGTGTGTACGGTACACAGTGAGAGGATTTTCTTCAGAGACCCCGCACCGTGCCTAATCAGACCCTCACAACGGATACGCGGCCTTTCCTTCACAGCTACACGCAGGGAAATAGATGCTGCCGGATCCTCCCCTTTTATCTATTATTCTACCCCCGCCCTTTCGATCCGGCCCCGTCTACAGTATTTCAAGCCTTCTTCCTTCAAACAAAGTCTAACGTTCAGAGCAGCACAGGGAAGCATGACAAAAGGGAAGGCCTTGCGGTTATTAAAGATTGAGACATCACACAATGACTACGCAGCCCACGGACGCCCATGACACCTCGGGCGGCGAATTTCTTTTTGAGGATGGCTGTCGTGGGGACTGCTCTACATCATCCTCACCATTCAGATCACTTCAGCAAGTCTCTACAGTAACAGTACATGTGCATACGCCTCATATTCTACGTACAGCAAGTTCGGAAAACCAGATGACTGCTTACGCATCTCGCTACGAGGGCAAACTGATGCGTCTTGGTGTTCATTCTTCGTCGGTCGCTTCAGTCAACTGGTTCTTAACCAGATTCGCATACTCTCCATTCGGAATGCGCAGCAGCTGTTCATGTTTTCCGCTTTCCACAATCCGACCCTTTGACACCACCGCTATCACATCGGCGTTCTTCACTGTAGACAACCGATGCGCGATGGCCACCGTCGTGCGTTCTGCTGCTGCCTTGTCCAACGCGTCTTGTACAACTCGCTCCGACACCGCATCGAGTGCAGAAGTTGCTTCGTCCAGTAGAAGGATTCGGGGCTCTCGCACGAGCGCTCGAGCGATTGCCACGCGCTGCCGTTGCCCGCCTGAAAGTCTTTCCCCCCGTGCGCCAACGACAGTGTCATATCCGTCTTCCAGCTCTGAAATGAATGAGTGAGCATTGGCAGCCTTCGCAGCTGCTATGATCGTGTCATCTGTCACCGGAGTCCCATCAGAGTGGTCCAGCCCGTAGGCAATATTGTCCCGTATACTCCTATTGAAAAGATCAGGCTCTTGGGAAACAAGACCCAAGTTGAATCGCAGGTGATTCAGGTTGTACTCTCGGATTTCAGTATCATCAATTCGAATAGTCCCTTCGCGAGGATCGTAGAATCGCTCCAAAAGGGCAATAGTCGTAGATTTTCCACATCCACTAGCTCCAACCAATGCTAACGTTTGGCCCTGAGATACTTCAATGGATGCCCCTCGAAGAACGTGAACGTCCGGACGCGACGGATACTCAAATCGCAACCCTTCTGCCGCCAGATGACCGGAAATTGAAGACACCTCTCCAGTCTTCTTACTTGGGTCAATGCCCGATTCACGATCCAAAAGGCGGAAGATTTTGGTAGCAGCAATTTTCGCCTTGCTCACATCACTGGCTTGACCACTGGCATTTCCAAGCATCATCCCGGCGAAGAGAAGTCCCGTGATCGCTGTCATAAGCTCGGGAAAATCGCAAAATCCATCGCGGACAAAGATCGAGCCAATCCAAAAGCTCACAGCCCAGAGTGCTTGAGATAGAAACTCGGAGATACCGAACATTATCCCGGCAACCATTGCTGACTTGCGCCCATTCCTAATTGGAATCTCAAGTGCTGCGTTATACTTTCGCATGAAGACATCCTGCACACCCACGGATGTAACGGTATCAAAGTTATTCACTGCCTCGGACGCAATAGTACCCGCCTCTGCGTACATCTTCTCCGAATCAGCGTCAAAACCTGTCATCAGTTTCATTTGCAATGCACCACAAATAGCCATAATCGGGAAAACGCCCGTTACCACGAGGGCTACGCGCCAGCACGCTTCATATGCTATAGCAAACCCAGTAACAATTGTGCTCAAAGCGAACGACATGAGACCCAATGTATCCCCAGTTACACCCTTCACCAGCGAGGCCTCAGTGGCAAGTCGTGTTGTGAGGGCGCCCACTGAGTTCTTCCTCTCATCGAAAAATCCCATTTCCTGTCTCAAGATTGCTCTGAAACTTCTCCGCCTCAGTTTCAATGTCAGTCGCTCTCCACTAATTCCCAATCCAGACAGCTGACAGAAGTAGCCGAAGAAAGAACCACCCCCAATCGCAACGAAGTAGAGACACCACTTCCGAATCTCCCCTGGAGTGTTATCTGCCGGTCGCATTATGACAAAAATGACCTGGAGTGTGGACAATACGAAGTGTAACGTAACCACATGCAGAAGACATAAACACGGTTAGCAACAAGAACAATGGAACATCGCAAAAACAGACGAGACGAGAATCAGGATAACCCAAAGCACGCCGAGAACAAATCATTATCCGTTCGATCTTACCCTTGAGAAGACAATAGACATGACTGGAAAGGCGGAACCGGCAACCGCCGCTCCAACGACTCCGATCAAGATCCAATACCACTCAGCTCGGTTGAACGCAAAGGCACGCATTAGAATACCTTTGTCGACATCCGCTTCACTTTCTCTTTCCTCATCAGATTCACCGATAGGTTTGTCATGTCGAGTCTTGGAAACTGAGTCCTTAAAGACAAGGGCCTCTTCCCTAAACTCAGATTCATCAGCGGGGGTTTGTTGGATCTTTTCAACGTTCTTCGCTTCAATCTTCTGGTGTTCAACAAGCGTACGGTATGCTCCGTTGTCAATGTCAATAAGACCTTCATGAGTACCGGCCTCCACGACGGTCCCCTTGTCGATGACAGATATCACGTCTGCGTTTCTCACGGTGCTCAACCTGTGCGCAATCATGATTGTCGTGCGTCCAGCAGATGCCTTTTCTAACGCCTCTTGCACGATACGCTCTGATTGAGCGTCAAGAGCAGCAGTGGACTCGTCCAGAATCAATATCTTCGGGTTTCGAATGAGGGCTCGCGCTATGCAAATTCTTTGCTTCTGCCCACCACTGAGCATTGCCCCACGTTCACCGAGCATTGTGTCGTACTGCTCCGGCAACTTCATGATGAAGTCGTTGGCGTTCGCCATTTTCGCTGCACGCACAATATCTTCGTGTGTAGGTTCCCTGCGCTGCATGACTGTCTTCCCCTCGATTTTGTCAACTGCAATATCCAGTCCGGCACCAAGCGCTATGTTCTCACTGATCGTCATTGCGAACAACGTCGGCATTTGGCCCACATATCCCATCTGGCTGCGCAGCCAGCGGACGTTTAAGTTGCGAACGTTTACGCCATCCAAGGTAACTTCACCTTGCTGCACATCGTAAAACCTCTCAACCAGACGCACTGTGGTACTTTTGCCGCATCCGCTCGATCCGACAAGCGCATGAGCTGTGCCTGGAGGGACATCAAGGTTGAAGTTGTTCAGGACAAACTCTTTCATAGCATCATCTTCCAAGTCGTCGATGATACGTGAGGCATAGTTGAAAAAGACGTTCTTAAACTCAATGCGACCCCTAAAGTCATTGATAACTTCACCTTCATCTTCCGTCAGGGGGTTTATCTCAGACGGTCGGTCAATAACCTCATACACGCGTGGGGCAGCCCCACGAGCTACCGCGAAAGCCTGGAATGATGGAGCGGCTTCATCGCAGAAAAAAAACAAAACAAAAACAAAAACAAGGACAACAAACGGCGAAAATTCGTCTTATCGAAAACGCAGGAGGTTAGGCAATCTTCGCATGCGCGCAAACGTAATTCTTACCCGCATTCTTCGATTCGTGTGACCATCAGCAAGAAAGGAGAAGAGGAAGAAAAGGCAGAACTCACCTTGCCCGATCGAAACACAAGCGATAAAAACGGAAAAAAAAGTGGTGAGAACATCCCCCGGATCCAATTTCATTTCTCTTACTCTCCACGCACCGAACACAAACGCAACCGCATACGTAGAGAATATAATGAAAAAGGTAACGCCCATGCCTAACCCGCTGATAACGGCCTTCTTCACGTCAGCCTTGTACGCGATCTGCAACTCCTTCTCATACCTCCTCGCCTCGCTCTCCTGGCCACCGTACGCGGTAACAGAGCGAATGAGGTTGATAGTCTCATTAGCGACAGCGCCAGCTGCACCGTAGGCTCCCAAGCCATCGCCTGTAGAAGCGGAAGCCATCTTTGCAAAGGCCCCACCGGCCAAGACGAGCAGGGGGGCGACGGAGAGTATGACGAGTGTGAGCAGGGGGCCATACACAAAGGCAACGATGACGCCAATGACAAACATGGACGTAAACTGAATTGCACTGGTAACTTTATCTCCAATGCCCGCCTGGATCAAATTGACATCACCCGCTACTCGTGCGGTAAGCTCTCCACCATCGTTCTGATCGACCCAGGTGTAATCTTGAGACATTAGGCTTTCAAAAAACTTCCTTCTGAGTCTCGCACAAACGCGATGTGCTACCATGAGTTGCAACCTGACCTGAAAGAGGGACGTGACAAAAGCGATGCCACCAATGATAAGAAACCATTTCGCGAGACTGCCAACCTCGTCAGTGATCTCCCCGATAAGAAGTGGATCGACGTTTCTGCCCGGCTCCAGGTCACCGAATTTGTCAATGATGCCACCGAAAAGGATGGTGAAAACGGGGAGCAAACCCCCGTGAATGGCGGCGCAAATACAGGCGACGGCCATTAAAATACGCTCGTTGCGCGTAGCGAAGCGGAAGAGGGCCGTGAACTTGACGGGCGGCGGTTTGTTATCGTCTCCAGAGCCATTGTTCTCACTGCTCTCGACGGGGGTCTTTTTGAAGCGAGCGAAGAAGCCTTTCTTGGGAGGGTTAAGGTTGTCTTCTTGGGTGCCCGTGCCTGTCCTGGTGGAGGGATCAGTGGCGGGGGGCCCAGCTTGGTCTGCCATGGTGAGTGGCGGGGAACCACGGGCGGGCCGTTAGAACAAACTGGGGTAGAGGTGCGGGCGAAGACCAGAGTCTGCGGTGTGTATTGGCGTCAAGGGAGGAGGACGTCTGAATCGGATGGGAAGATGTGTTAGGAGAAGGGGATGCGGAATAAACTGATGAATACAGAGACCTGTACCGTAAGACTAAATACATTGCCGCAAAATATCTTTTTTCAAGTTACGTTCTGTTGTAAACGGACTTGCAAATTTTAATGGAAAAAGACAATAATGCACTGCGCCATACAGTACCGCACTGTACCACAGGTCGGATCTACTGTCCATCCTGTCCAACCAGCGAGCCGCGAGAGCCTGCCTTGCAAAAGGCCGCATTGAGGAACATCCATGGCATTTGTAACCATTGGCTCCCGCTCTCATATCTCAACCTCAGGTTTTTCACGCATCTATTTTTCCCCATCCCAAAACGTTACGGCTGGTGTCCCTTGACATTCGCTCCACTCACAAACACAACAACCTTCTACGTAAAGCTGGGAAAATCGCGTACACATATGAGAATGGTGCTGCAAGCCAACGTGCCTACGTATAAATTTACCGGGTACAGTATACGTAGGCACGTTGGGTCGGTATACTATACCGCTCCGAGCAATCAATTGGCGAAAATAGCTTTTCCGGGCAGCCCGTGAACGTTCAGAGAGGAATTGCAAGCCCCAACTATTGCACAGTACAAAGGGTACCCTTGGTACAGTATACCCTTCAAGGGTAGCTGTTGCGCCAGATGACGATAAACAAACCTGGATCAAAGGCATTTTAAGGGTACCGTTGAATGGTACCCTTGGGTACTGTACCGTTGCTGTAAAGCGGGAGACGGAACCGTTGCTGTGCATCAATATACTGTATTCTACAGGGTACAGTACCTTTAAAAACACGGTGCATACAGTACTGTAGCAATAAAATTGCGCAGGTTAGGTATACTGTACTGTATCATCATGCGCTGGCAGTTGAAAACGTTTGCATTGCCTGAATTATCCTTATGCAGCAATCCCCCGCTGCGGGGTTTTCAATCCACCTTGGCATTTGTAACTTACAAATGCCGAGGTGGATTGAAAAGGTTGCAGAAGTTTTTTTTCAGAATTAGTGTTGGTTGTTAACAAGTTGTTAACCCAGGATTCGACTGACCAGCGAAGCGAGATACAGACTACCTCTTACGCAATACTGTACAATGTTACAAAAGTTCGCAACGCACTCCAACGCACGGTGGTTTGCAATGCAAGCCACCGTGCGCTGGAGTACATGGACACGTGTGTTTCCCTGGCTGTTGCCCAGCGGAATCGTGACGTCGATGCTTGTTGACATCAACAACTCACCATTTCCGGTTGACGTGTTCGAGATCGAGTCTACGTTTCCGGAGCAGTGCCGTACTTTACAGTAATGTATCTTACAGTACTGTTGAGGAATGACTGAGAGAGATACAGTACTGGTACCTTGCTGGAGGTCTGTCCGCAAAACACGTGGTGGGATTTTTCAAACTCGGGTTTACTTTAAATTTACGTCCAGCGAGTTTGTGGGCAAATGGAAAAAAACAACGCGTTATTTTACGGACAACGTTACTGATTGACCGTTACTGATTGAGATCAACCTTTGTAAAATCCCGATTTGGTCAAAACAATTCGCGATTTTAGGATTTCAGGAAGCCCCCAATAACTATAGTTAATGTTAACTTAGATATTGGGGGCTTCCTGAAAGATCGTCTGTTAACATTAACAGGCGACCTTTTTTTCGGGTCACGCAAGTTTGCACTGAGGATGACCAATGACCACAAAGGTCAGACCATTATACAGTATGAACAGGCTCCTGACAAACCGTATGCTTCAATGGGTTTATTCTGAGAGTCTCAGACTTGACCAATTCTTGTGCGACAACAGCTCCTTTCTCCCCGAAGATCTGGACGTCCATCCATTTGAGAGTGGCTCTGGAGTAGTTGTCTGCCTTGTGTCCGCTTGACTAATGAAGAAAAGTAACTGCAATTCAGGATCCTCTAACCGATGGACGTCGTCGAGCAACAGAGTAGTCTCTCGTGCTTTCGCATCACACAGAACATTTTCGCTTCTTAGCTGGCAAGACCACGCCAGCGACATAAATACGATCTCGTATACGCTGTACTACCGTAGTGTAGGAGAGGTTCCCAATGTCAAGCTGCAGAATACCCACGCATTCCCTTGGCAGTACGCCACACTATTCTATGAGAAATAATAAAGCATCTCAAGCATATATGGTATTCTCGCAGCAGGATATTAGCACGGATGTTGTTTCTGTTGAGCAAACACTCCTGAACAAATTACATGACCTTCAAATGCTTCCGTCCCGATTGTCTACTATATTGATTAACTGTGCAAACGACTACTCCAATAGCTTTTCTTAGCTAACATCACGCAAAGATGGAGATCTGTACCAGCCTTCCGTGCCGCACACAGACTTCCGGTCTGAAAGCGCTGTCAGACAAGCATTGCTGAACATCTTTCAAGACTAGAATCTCACAGCAAATCCTATGAATATCATTTCTATTCGTTTCCTTTGGTTCACATTAGAGATAACATTTTGGTACGTGTCGGCTTCTCAGGCTGCATCCATCGTGCAAATGAACGGTTATGGAATAAGTGCAAACGAACACATGTAGAACCTGATAAGCATGTGAGAACTAGTGACATACACCTTGACTTCAGTTTGACCGGCTTCATTTGTCCGACTCATCGCTCTTTCCTTAACCTTTCACTGGAGCGGTGAGCTCCATTGACCCACCAGCCGCCTCACTTGCGTTTCACACTAAGCAAAACCACTCTTCGCCCATATTTATTTTCGAGGCTACTCTCCATCACGGTCGTACAATTCCGCTCTCGCATCCGTGCAAGGGGGAGTCAGAATTTCTTCTGGATTTGGAACTCGCAATGAACGCGCAATCGGACCTGTCAGGTGGTGCTGAATCCCTTGCAATGTTCGAGGTGGCAATGCCGTCGGAGATATCAAGTCTTCTCAATTTTTTGGTTCTTGACGTTGTGTTCTTGCCATTCATCATTTACATGTCTGGAAAACTCGCAGGGTACGTAAACACTGACATGCTTGAAAAGCGGGGCGTCATCACAATGAAAGAATTCGGAATACCGTTGATAGGAGGTGGCATGGTGATGGCTTCGGGGTGGCGTCGCACCTTGCTCATTTTGCTACGATTTTCAGTTCTTGTAGCCGTCGCTGTGAGCAACTTCGGTCTCGAAGGGCGAAACAGTATTGGGCTCGTCACCAGAGCTGGCGATGTTCGAGTACCAGGGCTTCTTTCGGACGCGACAAATACTATTACGGGCGTTGTACTGCCCCAGGCCCGTTGCTACAAGAAGATAGATGAAATTACAACCGTCTACGGATCAGTCATTGATGGTAAGTGCTACAAGGACATACCAGATTACACCGTAGTCCGTTCCAGGACGTTTCACAAGTCTCTTAATGCCTCTGCGAGAAATTGCGTACCGTCTTACAATTGTGATAACAAACCATACCCGACAACAACGTACCGTTGTGATAGGTCAGACATAGTCTGCCATGGAGTGCCGAAGCGTGCGGGCTGCAGCAACCAAGACGGTATGCAAAAGGATGCCTTCGGTTCTCTTGAATGCCGGTCGGTATCGTATGGCCCACAAGATGATTATGCATTCTTTTCCGTGTCCACGGAAGATGTTGCAATGCCAGAAACTTCTGGCCCCCTGAAGGACTGTTTCGCACTTGACGTGAAACGTGCGGACGTCGAGAGATGGAATGAGACATATCCAAGAATCACTACCATGGTCCCAAAAGCGATCTATGCATCAGCATACGGGGCTTCAAAAGAAGTTCAGGTCACAATTCCACGTGATGGTCTCCCTCTCCCCGTGACTGGTGTTCGTATAAGGTGGGTCATGTCAACTGCATGGGTTGTTAGTGTGGCGTTGGTATTCAGTATGTGGGTCCTCTTCTATATCTACCAAGGCCATGAGGAGATGCTCCATGATGAGCGCGGTTTAGTTCAAGAAATGAGAAAAAGATTAAGCTCGAGTGAAAATCTAAGAATGATTGACATCAAGGCATAGTTTCTTTCACAGGAAGAGCACGAAATAAAGGTCGGTATGTGCCATCATATCAGAAAGCATACACCTGCGCCTCGAAGAAATAGAAAAATTGTCATGAAGAGGGCAAATTCCCTAAAAATGTATGGATCGACGCTCGACGTCGCCGCCGAAAGCCGCAGAAGTTTCGACTAGTGACAAATGCAGTCGTTGTCACGAGCGATGCACACCAAAGGTAAATTGACGTAAATCTATGTGACATCACGCTCCCTGCCACCTTCCAACATGGCCAGGTGAGTATGGAGTTTGCTCTCCTTCAAAGTTATATGGGAATTCTCATACCGTAATTATTATTGTACTGCCTTTTATTTAGAGAATAGCAAAGCACATAACTTCTATTCAAACCTCGATGAATGACTGAGCACGCCAAAGGGAGACTGAATTCATAAACGTGGATTGTTCAAGGGTCGGGGCACCTAATTCTGGAAACCAGTTTCCGGTTTCCAAAAACACTGTAGTTGCTTTTGAGAGACGAAAATGGTGATAATGAGACAAAGGAAAGGAGTTAAAGCTGAAGGTGGCCCACAGTATCGTTTGTGCGAAGACCTCGGATTTGTTATCTTAATTAGTGGAAAATCACATGGATTAAGCAGCAACGTCTGACCCTCACTTATCTCAGAATTGCAAAAGATTCATTCATTTATGCGGTTTTGAATATGTTCATAGATGAGCCTTATTGCGTTCTCCCGTGTTGCACTTTTCATACATGCTGGTTCATTCACACTAGTGTCCATCCGACCAAGCGTTATCATAACATACAGATCCGCGAATTTTATTTCTTTCAAGTTTGACGTCCACGGTTTCTATTTTTCTTTGGAAGGATGACTCGTTCTAAAATTATTGCCGAGGTTGGAACCGAATAGAAGGCACTCAAGGTCATGTTTCTATGCCACTGGTATAAATTTAGCTTAAAGAAAAATGCGTGCTGTAAGCTGACTTCTTCTTTTGAACACCTTTATGTGCACGTTGGTTTTCGCTAGAATCGACAGGCAAGTGCTGTACCTGTCGAGATGGCCTTCTGGTTGCAAAAAACATAAGTGAAGAGCCCGTTGCGCTGTCTAGAAAAAATAAAAAACTTTTGTTCTCATATGAGGACTAACGGTCCGATAGACACTAGTCGGGTATTAATCAATTGAGGTTGGCCTGGATGAGAACTGCGGATCACAGCAATCGCAGTATTTTCGGGAACGCTACTGCCATTCCGTGGACACTACTGTGTTCCTCTGCCGCAGTTCAGTCTTCATTATTTGAACCTCCGCAGCAGTTCAAATAATGAAGTGACCCATGAGTCTGTCGCACAACACTTGGTATTGCAACGGCCATCAATCTGAGGAAACGACATGATGCTGGCATGATGTGTTAAGGTTTCTACATCTTTACATGATCCTTGTGTGCTGGAACCAGGAGTATTACGAGAACATAGGCAGAATTGCAGTTGGACAGCAGGACCAGGAGGTAGAAGATCGAGATTAATCTGGAAGCCAAATCTAGAATGGAAATGTCTAATTGGCTGAGAGATTCCTTTGCATTGCTGTGTGATGCATATGCATTTATGTTCAGTTTCTACAGAACTGGACCTGCGGGTTCTTTGTCGTCGCTATGGATAGAAGTATGTGTTGTTCTAGACAACCTGTATGCGTTGCGCTATTCTCAAACCCGAGTGGGAATCCGGGAAGCTACAGATTTAGTATAAAGAGTACTGTAGTCGATCGACTTTTCAACAAAAATATATATTAAGTCATCTATTGTGTCAAGTGAAACCCATTTATTTGTCTCTGAATCCCACTTCGTATCTTGATATCTCTGGTGAGTGTATAGATATTACGTGCGAACATAGGAGTTCCAAGACACGGCTTCTCAGCTCATGCAATACAGTATATGCTGAAGCTAAACTCGAAAATTTAGGTGCATCAGCAGAACGTTTGTCTCGAAGGGTATGGCGGTGTATCTCTTTTGATGAAGACGGAATCAAAAAATTTGATCTTCCTGGAATAACTGGAGCTTCTCTCTCCCCATTTTTTACTCAAAAAAAATAGTACTCCCGACCTCTCCCCCTGGTAAATCATTATCACCATCACGCATTCGCAGTATTTGCACAGGCTTTCCAAGGAGTTTGAGGAGGCCGTTTTCATCATGCGCAACTGCCTTAGAGCCTACCCAGCAATATTGGAAAATAACGTAGGCTGTTAAGGCTAAGCATACAACGGCAGTCACAGAGGCTGGGGCAATCCATAAGAGGCTGATATCAGTGACAACTCTTGGTTCTTCCAAAAGAGTGACGTTCTGCATACGCTTTACCCCATATGCGGCGGCAAAGATTGATAATGTCGCTTGGTCTACTGCATTGTTCCATATTTCGAATGTTTCGTCCCAATGTGCTACGACTTCACGTTTCGCCAGGAATTCTCTACATTGATTCAATTGTGCCTGCGAGTCCGAAGCAATATTGCCTGATTCGCAAATGTACCCGCCCCCTTTTTCATCATCGTAGATGATTCCAAAACACGACTGAGGAATGATGCCCTGAGCATCAGCACAATCTTTGTCTTTGGATACACCGTCGCAGTAGAGATCAACTTTCTCACATTTGAATACTGTTCTTTCGCAATTCTTTGCTGTCATTGTGCAAAGATCCATAGGGACGGCTCGTTCAATACGAGTTGCGGACAACTCGTAGATAATAACGTAGTCCTTTATCTCTGGGAAGCACTTGTTGTCGATCACAGAGCCCATGACGAACCGATCTCCTTGAACTACATTGCATTCCTTGTAGTCGCGAAGAATAGTGAGGATGTTTTCTTCGTCCACTTTCAAAGGTCCCGGCACACGAATAATAGCTTCGCGCCTCACTGGATTCGGTATTGTTCGTCCCTCTATACCGAGATTTGCCACTGCCACAAAGATGACAACGGCCAGACGAACTCCGATGAGGCATCTTCGCCACCATCCAGGAGACATGACCATGCCACCACCAATGACAGGAAAGTTGTACTCAACCAGGTTGACAGTGCTCCCTTCGCTGATGGCCTTCTCATTGAAAAATCCTGCAAGTTTGCTTGACAAAAATAAGGCGTAAGAAAGGAGAATTATGTCTAAGAAAAAAAAATTAACAACATTCACAACTTCAGAGGGGACTCCAACTCGGATCATGCCAGTCTGCGCAAACCAAAAAGCCTAGTATTGAAGTGCAGAATGCGAGGGTTGTGGTCGATGAGGCCAATGCATCTGGAACTTGCCGATATCTTGGGGGGATATGAGCTCACTCATTAAATCTAGAAGAGAGCGGCGAAAATGAGGCTGATGAAATGTTAGGCTCCATTCTTTGTACAGTATTGGCTGCAAATATAACTGTAAATATTACCTCAGATGTGTGGTGGAAAGCTGACGCACAGGGAAGGAATGCACCTGTAGCAGCTCTCCTTGTTAATACAGTAATATGCTACGCGAGGCATGCAGACTTCGTAGAAACAAACGCATATCGACTTCAGATATTTCTATGTTGGAGAAATTATATGAGAGATAAAATAGATTTAAAGACGCGAAAGTGTCAGAAGGAAGCTGAGGGAGCACGGCCTGTCCGATAATAATTAAATGGGAGAAGAGTAAAAGCATGCCGCTGGTGCAGTTTTATTGAGTACCATGTGACCCCAGCATCTGGCAAAGTCAAGTGTAACTCTCCACTCTGTCTCATACGGTGAACCCTTATGCTAGAACTGTATTCTCGCGATAACTGCAACCGTTTGTTGGACGACCCTTTCATGGAGATATCGCCTGTGGTTCTCATGGTTTTAACACCGTTGGCCAGAAGTTGAGAGAAGCCCAAATGCGCTGTAGTTTCTCTTTTGCCTCTAGAGGAAAGTCTCAGGAGTGCGGATTACCACACTACAAATTTTCGCACGAGGATAGAATAGTCTTTGCAACTGCCTGAATGATGTTGCGTATCTCAAAATGATCAACCGGAAAAAATGCCATTATTTGCGCATTGTCGCGATTACCGAATAACGCGAATAGTGCGGTCAGAGCTGCTATCATGGAAATGCGTCCTTCAATAAGGTTCTCCGTAAAGCCACGAAATCGCGTGTTTTCGGGGCGTCTTTTGGCGGCGTCTTCGCTCATATTTTCTAAACGCATAATTTTCAGACAACTCGTTTGGCAAAACTCACATCAAACCGAAAACTGGGGGCATGTGAGTTTTCCACGAGTTTCGCATCCGCCTGATCACAGCAGTGCCGGATCGACCCGTCTTGAAGGAAAACAAAGTGGGGTTTCCGCTCTTTTCATCAGCACAAACGAGTCTCAGACTGCACGGGTCGTATCGATATGCGTCATGGACGCCCCTATCGCTTCATCTGCGCAGATTCCATCAACGGATCAAAGCGCCACATGATCTGCCACAAATGCCTCCGAAGCAACCGCGAAAGATAGATGAGTAGAAGTTTCTAAAAAGCGGTCCTCTCCAATTGGACCCCCCCAGCCTGTCAAGAAGACGAATCACACTGCACTTTCGACTAATAACCTTTCTATCCTTGTGGCGAGCTACAATATTGGCTTCAGCGAGTATTCGCGCAGGTGCACGTGATCCGTCGGGCGGCACCCCGATGTACAGTGCCTCCTACGATATAGTGCTATAGCGTGACATTGTGGTTCCACCCAGATAAGGCAGCACCCCAATAGGGCACTGCCAATAGGGCGGCTCGTAGTCAGAACCAAATAAAGCCGCTGTCGCCTCCGCCCCAACACGTCTGTATTTCTGATAGTCTAAACTTTCCCATACGAAGCCCATGCAAAACCAATGCATGCATGGCGATTTACCCATACTTGCACGAGCAGAAATTTCCCAAGTGTTTCCTATGCGGAGAAATGCGCCATGATTGCGTGGACGTGCATGGCCTGGTTCATGGGCTTGCATTGGTAATTTGCATGGGCCTCCATGGGTTTGCATTGGCCATGTGCATGGGATTGCATTGGGAATCTGCATGGGCTTGCATGGGATTTTCCATGGGCTTGCATTGGACACCTGTATGGGCTTGCATAGGATTTTGCATGGGATCACATTGGGAATGTGCATCGTCTGTCTCTTCGGAAATGAATGCGGCCTTCCAAAACGTCTAGTCCGGGCCCTAGTATTTACCCGTGAAAAACTTGACTTTTTGATTGTCAAGTGAACGTCCGACTAGACCCGGACATTCACTTACACTTACATTGTGGATGTCTAAGGCTGGTTTGACTGCACGTGAACTATACATAAGGAATGTCCAAGTCTAGTGTTACTGGATATGAGCTAGTAATTATGGATGTCCAAGTTCGCTAATTAAACCAGTCAAGACGATGAGATTCTGGTGGGAAACAGCGATATTGTAGCATACGAGTGACAAAAGTGCGGTATGACCAGTTTGCTGTTTCCATGTAATGATCCGCTCACCAGTTCATCGGGCTGTCCGAAAAGTCTCCACAGTGAAAGGGCGCTACACTGTACATGACATCCAATGCAACAGTGATTGGAGTCGAATATTTTCATTCAGCGGTAGTGCTCTCAAGACTAGAGCACTGCAGAACCATGCCATGGAGCGCCTTTTCTGTAGATTCTCAAGCACTTGGTGTCGTTTCATAGCGCTGCTTCTACTTCCAACTCACTTGCTGTGAAAAGCTTTGTCAAGGTCCGCCCTGCCTTTTTGTTGATGCCGTCCTCTCCCGCAAACACATTCTCTCTGGCTGCCTCATTCTGCACGCTTCGAAACCTTTCGTACATAGGCGTTTCACATCCGCTTTTCACGATTCCCACAGCCTTGTACTTCCCAACGTGCTTAACTTGGCGCAGGTGAAGCATGAACAGCTGTCCGAGCATTATCCCTCTTGTTAGGTCCGTCATCCGTTCGTTTCAGTCTTGAGACAAGCTCCGCCCCTCAATCGTCAATGCCAATGGCCGCTCCGAAAACTGCATGCATAGAGGTTTGTAAATTTACGAATAGAACGACAGTGTCGTCTAGGCTCTTCGTCTTTTTCGAGTAGAAATCATCGCATACCTCGATCTCCGCTCTGCGCTTCTCAAATGACGCTTTGTTTCTCAGCAACGTATTCTGCTTCACGTCACCCTCCAGCAAGAATATCCGACGTGGTATCTGGGCCTGTCTCATCTTGAACGCCTCCCTTCTCTCTCGTCCGTCACGCATAGAAGCGTGGAAGTCCTCCAATGTTTTCCGTTCAATGATGTAGTCTAGAATAACCTCAATTCCACCGGGATACTGTGCGACGAACCTCACATCACCACATGGTAGTTGTCGCACTTCGCAGTCGATTCCTTGAGCAAGGTGTTGACCCTTTGTCGTATCAAGTATATCTCCCGATCCCTTTCGCACGCGCTCCATTGAGACGACCACAAGCACAACTCGACATTCCGGAACTCCAACTCCAGAGCCTTGAGAGCCTGTATCACGGGATATTTTTGCGTCTAACCCAGGCGCCGCCTCATGCGCAGACGGCGTGGTTCAAACGTGTTTGTCTTTTCTGGTAGCACTGACGGCATTTTTGTTTCTCCTGGCATGGACGGATATCAATGACCATCCTACTCATGCTCTTGTCGCCACAATGTGTAATCACTAGTCATGAGGCGCTGGGGAGTCTTGTCGTAGAGCCCTCTTCCAGAGGGAGATCTTAAGGCCTCGGATTCGTCGATTATACTAGAGGAAACACCTTCAACTCTCGCCTTCACGTTGGCGCGTGGTGTGTCTTCGTCATATATTTAGACCACTTCATCCTGTATCAGTGGCTGTGGCTTTCCCATGTCGTTCCCCATAGACATATTCTCAATACCAATTGACTAGTTGTCATCTGATGCAGGTAGAGATCGCTGTGTTTCCCGCTGTTGTTTAGCTCTCGGACTTCTCGAAGGGTCATAAAGTTGCGGGTCATTGCCACCTGCATCACTGTCTTCCTCTAGAGAGATAACGGGAATCGCCTCTTCGAGACAGGGCCATTTCTGAGACGATGATTCGTATGATTTTTGGGCAGATCTGTTGCGAGGAAGTTCATTACAGGATCCTGCATATTACACATCTTCCGATACGTTGTTATACCAACCTCCTTGGAGCGAAGAAGTTGTGCGCCTGAGGGGGCCTGGTGTAGTTGCTACACCTGGGTCGAGATAACTTTTTGACGGTGCACGCTCGTTTATCTCACACGAAAGTGCTGTGATCTTCCGGTGGCCATTCAAGTCATATCTCCACAGAGCCACTTTTTCCAGTAGCACCATTTTCGAAAGGGCGTATCTGAATCTTTCGCACATCTTCACTTCGTGCGATCTCTTTCCATTTCTTCTCCCACAGCCCTTCAGTCAGCGTCCCGTAGAGCTTTTCCGTCTTTTTGGGAAAATGTTCCTTCTCGAACAGGTCTCCCAGAATCGAGAACAGAAGCGCCGCTGGGAACCTGCTCTTTGTTCGGTACTAATGTAGCCTCCTGCCGTGGCTGGAGGTTCTCCTGGGAGTCCCGGGGTTTGTCTGGACATGAACCGTCTGCCCCGGTAATGGTGTGCACAGACCAGCAGTTCTGAATTCTGATCTGACCTTTGGTTGCGATCCACTCAGTGACATTTTGGACGAGCTAAAATTCCTCGCGTGAAGTGATTCTTAAGGGATAGTGCTCGAGAGAGCGGAAAGCGCGACTTAGGACACGGGAGGTGTTGAGTGAGTCGGAGTACTCGTGGCTTAACTCACGGAGAACAGTGAGCGGACCCGCATCCAGTTCGCAGAGCAGGAGAAGGTGAGGCATCACATGGCCCCCCCGACACGGCACGAGCTTGAAGTGCAGAGTGGGTTGTGAGGTTGCGAAGTCAGGTGATGTGAAGGCATTGGGCGAGAAGGAAGGTGAAAGGACAGGAGATAAAGTTGTCCGTCAAGTCACCAAAACGCGTGTTTCGGCGGCGTGTTTCCACGGCGTGTTTCGAGTTTCGACGGCGTGTTTGCTCATATTTTCTACTACAAAATAGCAAAAATTTCAAACAACGCGTTTGGCAAGACTCACAATCTTTCCCAAAACTGGGGCATGTGATTTTTTATGAGTTTCACATCCGCCTGATTACAGCAGTGCCAGGTCGACCCATCTGGAAGGAAAACGAATTGGGGCTCCCGTTTTTTCATCAGCACAAACGAGTATCAGACTGCACGGGTCCTATCGATATGCGTTATGGACGCCCCTATCGCTTCATCGCAATGGCTCGATAGCATCAAGTGTACATTTTCATCCTGAACGACACGCGATGGCTTTTGTTTGGCTATTCAGGAATTACTTTTCAAAGCGTGGACCGCGACAAACTCTTTTCAAGTTCAAGTTTCAGCTCTACCCGCTCGTCTGCAAGTCGATCAGTCGCCCCTCTGAAATCATCTCGAATTGTAAGCTGTCCTGACTCATCGTTGCTTTAGCCTCCTTTTCAAGAGAATTGGCACATCGCTCTTCGGCATCCTCAACCCTCTTTTGCAATTAAATTCTTCTTTGTTCGACAGCAGAGTCTTCTGCTGCCTCCAACTGCTCAATAGCTATTTGCAAATTTTCCTCCACTTTGTGATGAGTTTCAGCCAAGAATTCACTCTCTCTTGTGCTATTTTCAGCTACATCACATGACTCTCTTAGTCTTGCACATTCGTTTCTAGTGACTCAACCTGCTTTATTAGCTCTCATAGTTCAGAACTTAAACGTTCCACATCACGCTTTCTTGCTTGAGTTGATTCTACTTTGAGAACTCTCAACCTGCAATGTGATTCCTCGAGGTCTTCCTCTAGGTTTGTCACCTGGTCTGCACGAGCCAGCCTCTTCTCCGCGATCAACTTTGCCGGTGCGACGGCAGCGACGCGCGTGTGGGGCAGGCGCACCGCGGGCGTGTGGCACGTCCACGCGGACGACGGAGTCGTGGGCGCAGCTGTCGCCGTGCGGGTGGAGACGCTTCTGCAGCGCGAGCTGACGTCCGGAAGTAGTGAAAAGCGGAACAGGAGGTTACGAAGAGGGGGGAGGCTGGGCTGCAGGAGTTGCAGCGCCCCCTGGTGGCAGAGGAGCGTCGGATATTAAATGCTGGGGCGGGCAATGCCTCGACTGCAGCCACGTGTAAAATTGCGCAGGGGAAGAATTTTATTGAAATGCAAGGGTGGGCGGTGGGCCGATACAGAAAAGTTCATTTATTTCTCTAACATTATACTCTGTCTTTATTTTCACTAATCAAGGGGGGGCCGATGCACAGGGAGGCCGATGCACAGGGGGGCCGGTACTGTAGCACGAAATCGTCGGATATATACTTCTGGCACCGCCAGAAAGGTCGGTAGTCGTGCGCACGCAAAGGCGGGGCGATGGAGAAGGGGTTTCAGCAGGCGTGGTGCGCTTCGGTACCACTCCCCTGCTACCCTTTTCTTTTGGTCGCGAGTTCAATTCTGCATGAATACTAATAATAACTAAATAATTTGTTGAATTTTTAATAATGTTTAGATTAAAACATAATTTGTAGACTTGCACAATTTTAATTTTTGGCAGTGTCCCGCTGGCAAATCTCATGAAGATTCGAACGTTGAGACGTTCTTTGGGCAGCACACGGATCAACAAAACGGACTTGGCAGTGAGCGGAGCAGCTCAAGACCCAACGATCGATTTTACAAGTCTGCAGACAATGGGGCTGCGAAAGGGGCGTCAACCAAGTCTTCTCGAAACGGTGCGCAAGCTGAGACTTCCTTCGTACTGTAGACTACCCCCTTTTCACTACAAAACAGAAATTCTGGGTTGGTTCATCCCGCACGAACTGTAAACACTCTCAAAACGCGCCTGGGTTTAAACAAAATTACCATTTACTACTCTAGTCCTCATAAATTACTCAACATGACTCTTCTACGGGACTTCTGAAGAACTGTCAACGGGAGACCGACGAGTCCTCCATGTAGGGCAAGGGTGCTGGGATAGCGGTTGTAGGTACTGACTGCACTGAGGGTTGCGGCGCAGCATCAGATCAGATATCGATAAAACGGATTGTACTGCACTTTCGGGCCAAAACTAAAACTTGGATTGAATCCGCCATGCGTAGCCCATGAACACCCATTCACACCAATGCCTGCATGAGCTCGCATTGAACATATCTGAATTGGTTTGGACATCATTACCCCATGCATACATAGACTGTTGCATGGACGGTTCTATGGAACATGTTTGGCAAAACTAAAACTTGGATTGAATCCGCCATGCGGAGCCCATGAACACCCATGCACACCAGTGCCTGCATGAGCTCGCATTGAACATATCTGAATTGGTTTGGCCACCATTGCCCCATGCAGACATAGACTGGTGCATGGACGGTTCCATGGAACATGTTTGGTATTGCATAGGACCAGGCCTAAGCAAATCCCCATGGAAAAGTTATGATAACCGCTCCAATTGTGAGCATGGGCTTGCATGGTCTCTGCATAGGAAATTTTAGAAAATCAGAAATACAGACGCAGTGGTCGGAGGCATCGGACTCTTTCTGGCACCACAGGTTATGGGCACCTCACACACCACTGCCACCCAATCCGCGGCATAAGACCATCCATCCCCACCGCGATAAACCCGAGCACACTAACACACGACTACTTTCCCAAACCCCAAGCACGCGAAACAAACAAAATGACCGATCAACCCAACTCGTCACAAGGACCCCTACCCCGTCTCAACAGTGTAGTATAGTGGCGGTCGCCAGCTATGAGCTAGCTCGAGGAAGAGGTAACAACCAATAGCGGGCGTCCGGCGGTAGATCGGGACTGTGGTAGAGCAAAGGGGAAGTACGTCGGCCGACTGTAAAAGCACGACGTACTGGTCCGAAATGGGACCAGCACTGGAAGCGGTGGTGTAAGAACACACAAAACAGGGGGAACTCGAGCCTAGAGACTATTGTCAGACACGGGCGGAGCGCCGAGTAGCGGAAACTCCTAGAGGGAACGAGCAACGCAGATGTTAATAGTGCCGCCAAGGCTAGAGGCATGTCGTAGCCCGCGAATTGACAATCGTCACAATGTAGGGAGAGAGAAATAGGTCGTGCCACAGTAATACGCCCAGCCTAGAGTTTAGTCCTAGCCCACGTAGTCTCAACGACAGATAGAAAAGCATAATATGGAAAACAGTAGAAACGTCGAGCGACAGAGGAACGCCTAGGCTAAAGGCTAGTCTTAGCCCGCGTGGTCGCAACGACAGAGGAAAAAGGAAACAATAGAAACGTCGAGCGACAGTAATACGCCGAGGTGAGAGGCTAGTCTTAACCCGCGTAGTCGCAACGACGGAGGAAACGAGAAGTAAATGGTAAAAGCAATAGAGCCAGGGAAACGTCGAAAGACAGATGCCGACAATGTCGCCTAAGTCAGAGGCTTGT